GCACTGTCGGGGGCGTGGCCTAATATGCTAATGAGCTTCTGCTGTTGGGTGGGGCCTATTATGCTAATGAGTTCCTGCTGGGCTTTTTCTACAAAAAAAGCCCTGATACAGAGAATCTGTTCTTTAAAAAACCCAAAACCTAAAAAAGCTCTCCAGTGGTGGTGGTGAGGATGGCAGCATAAACACACCACTTCAGAAATGCATATCTTTCTGTTCACACAAGATGAAAATGTACATTGATCTTTTCAAAAACATTGTATCAAGCCAGTTTTATGGAAGCAGAAAACCCAGGAAGCGGACAGATGAGAAAGATGCTATCTGGATGCTCCGAAACACAAATGCACACATAGTTTAGAAACCAAACTAGAGATACATTTCCACGTGGAGCAACCTAAGAGTGAACTGACTGACCCTTTTTGGCACCTGCTATTAAGAATGATGAAAGCCTGAAAACCTGGCCACTTGTAGATGAGGTGTGTGGGAGGGAAGGATTCCCTAGGCGTATAGAAAAATGACACCGTTTTAAGGATTTTCCTTGTTCTTTTGATAAACTTCATAACAGCGTTCCATGCACCTTGGTGTTTAGTCATGCCGGCCACATGAACACGGAAACGTCTTCGGACAGCGCAGGTTCTTCGGCTTTGAAAAGGAGATGAGCACCGCAACCCTAGAGTCGGAGGAGGAGGTCCTGAGGGTGGAATACGGGGTTGTTTCCCCCTCCACAATTCCCTTGTGGGCTCCTAGTTTCTTTACATCCATTTTATTCTCAGTTTTCCTGATTCCATCTTCTTATTTGGGTTTTCCTTTTTATAGTGCTGTAATATTATAAGGATCTACAGTACTTTTTATAGTGTTGTAATATTAGAAGGATCCTATAACTCCAAGAACCTCAGGAACTCCAAGAACCTCAGGACAGCATGCACAATACAGTACATCAGGAGAGCATGCATAATTCTCCTATTTAATCATCACAACACCCCTGTGAGGTAGATTAGGCTGAGAGTGTGCCACTCAACTCAAGAACACCCAGGAGGTTTCATGGCACAGTTGGGGCTTGAATGTAGACTTCCCTCTTTCTAATCTAACCCTTTTCGCCTACTATGCCCCTTCCCCACCCCAAAGCAGGGAAATGACTTTCCTCTTAGCTGTGCTGTCATCTCCCCTTTGCTTTTATATACCATGCAAGGAACCTATTTGTATCCCAACCAGGGTTTAAATTAAGCCACAACCCAAATCAGAATGCATTTTCAGGGTCCAGTCTTTGCACTGAACATGCAATGCAGTGATCAAAACAGCTGTCTCTAAGCACACACAGAGTACTTTGTATCCCAACTGGGGTTTAAATTAAGCCACAGCCCAACACCAGAATGCATTTTCAGGGTCCAGCCTTAGCACTGAACATGCAAAGCAGTGATCAAAACGGCTGTCTCTAAGCACACACAGAGTACTTTCCCTTACCACAGATGAACCCTAGGCAGCCCTCATTCATCAGGAAGTAGTAGGGCTGGGCTGTCTGAACCCTTATTCACTTTATTTATATCTCTCCTTTCTCCCCAGTGGGACCTCCCAAGAGATTACACTCTTCTCCTCTCCAGTTTGGTGTAGTGGTTAGAGCATGGACTCTAATCTGGGAGAACTGGGTTTGATTCCTCAACTCCCCACATGTAGCCAGAGCTGGGTGATCTTGGGCCAGTCACAGTTCTCTCAGAGCTGTTCTCTCAAAAGCAGTGCTCAAAAAAGCTCTCTCAGCCCCACCTACCTCACAGGGTGTCAGTCGTGGGGAGGGGAAGGGAAAGGAGACTTTAGGGGGTGAAGGGCGGGGTATAAATCTTCTTTTTATCCTCACAACAACCCTGTGAGGTAGGTTAAGCTGAGCATGTGTGACTGGCTCATGGTCACCCAGCAAGCCTCCATGGCAGAATGGGAATTCAAACCAGGCTGATACGTCGTTTAGAAAATAAATAGTTACCCTTAGGAGGCACCCTTGGCTTTCATTCCCCACTCACCATGACGAGAGGGAGGATTACTTACATAATTTACATGACACCACCAACCACACACACAGGCATTCCCTTGCAGGTCTGTCAGCTGTGTTTAAGGCATAGGTATTTCTCCCACCCACTGGGTGGAAGGGCTATTAAGACACCAAACTAGGAAGGAAGCGCCTTTCCACTGCTGCATAATGGGAGGTGGGGACGCCTTCGGTTTGGGTCCTTGCCAGCCCTGCCCCCCAGCCCAGTTCAGACGGGGCCCCCAGGGCGCCCCACCTATTGCTCCGGACCGGGCCCTTCCTGCCCTCGGTCGTCCCACACCCCTCCGCTCTGCCCCCTTCTGGCTTCTGCCTGCCCGCCCTGGGCGCTGGCGAATTCCTGCGTCCTGACACACGCCCCGCAGCCGGCCTGTCCCGCGGAGAAAGTGGAGGAGGGAAGCCCCGTTTCCCGGCAGGGCAGGCCAGGCCCTTCCCGCGGCGCCGCTCCTTACCGTCCTGCTCCCTTTGGAAGACTTTTTGCCTTTCGTAGGCTGAGACATGACAGCTGAGGAGGCGCCTTCGCTCGGCCGCGCACTTCGCTCCCCCTCCCCCTGTGGGCTGTTTACGGGACGCGGCGAGAACTGCGCGGCAGCCGCCGAAGGGGGCAGGGTGGAAGCGGCCGTGAAGCAGCTTTTCCGACGGCGGCCCCAGTGCCAAAGCCCGTCTGCCGCAGCCCCGCTAGTCCCTCCTCTTCCTGCAGCCGCTGCTGCTGTAGTAACGGCCCAAACTCCTCGGGTTCAGTATTTATTTTGTTGACGAGGGAGGGGAGCCGGGGCTGGACAAAAGATGCTGGCTGGCGGTTTTGTTGTTTGCCGGGACATACCATCCCAGACCTAGGCTAGGCTATCAATACAGAGCCGCCCTGCTGGGCGAGGTTCGCTTCATGATGTTTGAACAGATCCGAGGCTTACTTTTCTGCGATAGGACGCAACACTGAGGAGAAGAAAAACCGACTGCCCCCACATCCTTGCTGTTTGGGCCAGGTGTGGATTAGGGCTTTCTGTCAGCAACAAAATATTGGGGTTCAGTGGGGAATATAGCTATTCCTTCTGACATCAAGCTGATTCTGATAATAAATTCTTCATCATAATCATCCCTTCAATAGCTGTTAATTTTAGTTAGGGTGTGGGGGAGGTAGGGTTGCCAGCCTCCAGGTGGGCCCTGGAGATCTCCTGCTTTTACAACTGATCTACAGCTGACAGAGATCAACTCCCCTGGGGGAAATGGCTGCTTTGAAGGGTGGACTCCATGGCATTGCACCATGCTGAGGCCGCCCCCCTCCCCAACCCCCGCCCTCTCCTGGGTCCACCCCCAAAGTCTCCAGGTATTTTCCAACCCTAGGAGGAGGAGAAATTTTAAGAGGAAATGTATGTGTTAGATCTATGTAGCAGAGTCTACTGGATCCTAGACATATTTTTGCAGAGGCCAAGATTAAAAGACATGCCCACTGAGTGTCATTTTAAACACACTTCAGACACACCCACTGAGGTATTTTAATTTTTTTTAAAACATTGAGTAAGACCATCATGCCACGTAACATAACTGCTCTTGAAAGTCACATCGCTTTCAGAAAACAGTTTGCTGGTTGAGAGGCTTTTCTGTGAAAAACACAAATCTGTAATGCTTGCACAAACTAATTCCAGAGGATCTTTGATTTGTGGCCAGTTACTGAAACCCTCTTCCTGCCTAAATGCAGATTATATCCATCCATTTAACCACAAAGCCAGTGCATTGTGATGCCACAGCAGTGTTCAGACTTCATGTCCTGGGCCCACTAGATTCTCTTCGCGCCTCAACTCCAGGCCATTGTTCTAAAAGTTTACATAATACCCAGCCATTCTTTTCCCCACAACAGTAAAAAAGAAAATCCAGTGCATCCTGTTATTTTCATAGTTAAAAAATCACACCCTTAAAGTTTAGCAGTTTGTGGATGACTGGAGACCTGTGCTAAATTACTCTGGCTGGCCTAAGTGCCTTGATTTCAGTTGACTTAAACCAGCCAAACTATGCATAGGATTGCCCTGTTGCTGTATCAGAAATGAACCAAACAGGTATCCCAAATATTTTTCCATGCAGCTGTCTTGGTAAGACTTAAGTGAGAGGTACAGTTAATCTGTGATTTATGGGACAGTTACTGCCTCACATTACAGTGCAGCCTTAAGGTTATCAAACTGGCTGCCAAGGAGAGGAATAGTTAAGCTTTGCACAACCTTGCTTTTCAGTGATTACTTGTCCCCAGGTTGTGCCCAAAGTTTATGTTTTAACTAGATACATAGCAAGGGTTTTAGGCCTCTAATATGGCGAGACCAGATGGGGGAGTCAGCCGCATGCAGCAGCTACAGTCCTCAGGCTGCCACCTAGTGGTGGTTCTACCCTGTTAAGGTATTCCATTTGGCATACATCATCACTTTCTCCGATTGTACATCACATCCCACTTTGTGAAACAAACTCCTTGAAGAGGTGAGGGAGGCACTGTCTTTAGACATTTTCAGGAGATGCTGCAGGATCATTTTATTTGCCAGAGCTTTTAACAGGATATAGACTGCAGGTGAGGGGGGGGGGATTATCTGTGGTTTTATTTGTATATTTTCAATTGATTTGTGATTTGTCTTGAGCCATGAGGAAAGGCAGGATATAAATATTTAAATAAATAGAACAGACACATCAACAGCAACTCCTCATGCCCTGGTGCAATGATGCATTCATAAACCAGAAATATCAATTGCTAAAGCCCAAAGTTCAAACAAGTCCCATCTCAAACATGGAAGAATGAAGTAGTGACTGTAATGGACCCTGTACATACTACCTGTACATATACTACATACTAGGATAGATCTAAACCTGGCACAAATCCAGTTGTACCACTATCAGGATCTATGGAATACAAAAACTGAGGGACTTCCACCCACAATGTGTTCTCATCATATTATTTTCAAGCTTGACTTTTAGGCTTTCCTTTATACCTGTGGTGCTAAATCTTGTCCTAGCAAGAAGCAGCTGAATTTGCTACATGTATCTTTGGAAAGGATTACCCCTGCTCTCTCTTCCAATCAGAAAGGAGTCCGCACACATGATATCAATGTACACTCAAAACAAGAAAGCTCAGGGCCTGTCCCATCTCCGTTTTTGCTTGCATATAAGTTTGATAAAATACAGTTGTCCAAAGGTGAAAAACTAACATATCATCATATATCTTGTTATCATATCTAAATGAGGTTGCCAACCTCCAGGTGGCACCTGGAGATCTCCCACTATTACAGCTGATCTTCAGACAACCAAGATCAGTTCCCCTGGAGAAAATGGCTGCTCTGGAGGGTAGACTCTATAGTATTATACCCTGCTGAGGTCCTTCCCCTCCCCAAACCCTACCCCTCCAGGCTCCACCCCAAAAATCTCCAAGTATTTCCCAATCCAGAGTTGACAACCCTAGCTATCGATGAAGCAAATAAATCTATATATCTAATAGCCAAGTCGCCCCCTGGTGTGCGGATACTTATTTCCGCACATCGGGGGCAACTGGAGGGGAGGGAGAGTTTTGTGCACACGTGGGGAAGTCCCCAGGTGTGCACAAAAATCAGAAACCCTGTAAAAAATATCGGGGGGATGTTTAAATCCCCCTGAAACTGACAGAGCGTCCCCTGCGCATGCGCAGGGAACACTCTGCAGCTGGCCTCCCACCGCCGT